TTCATGGTAAAGCAGCTTATAACCGTACTGAGGAAGCTCTTGTTCATGGGCAAGGATTCGGGATTCGACTCCTGGTAGATGTACTTTTTTTCGGTGTCCAGGCCGGCTCTGGTCTCTACCCACATTCTTATCCAGTTGATACCCGCGGATCTGCCAATTAGGTACTTACTTTGTTCTACAACTTCTGGTCAAAACATGTTGGATTTTAGGTCCTCGCACGGGTGGTTATGAAGAATACTACTTTCTGGGATATGACGCCGTGTAGTCTGTTAAGCGGTATTATATCCAAGAAGATATTACTCTTGTTTAGAACACATTTTGCTCGATATATTTTTAACGGGTAAAAATTAATACAAATTGTCATGTAAAGTGATCGACAAATTTATTCAAAAAGAAACTTAATCAAATGTGGTTTATCCATTCTCGAGATCTTTCACATATACAGACAAACTGACGAGCAATTTTAAGGGGCGTTACACAGGGATAAATACAATATATTCTAACTTGTAAAGTGAAAAGTAAAGTTGGCCTTGTGTTTAATTAATTAAGAATAACGGTGTGAAGGTGTATGGGGGACTGGAGATATAGCTCCGCCATTCTTTACCTCGACTCTAGATGGAGGTGAGTTTGAAAAACAAAATAAAATTCGGTAAATTATAGTTGAGCAAGGTAAATAATTTTCAACATTAAATACGCGTTACGTTTCAGGACTATGCTTTCAGCACTGAAGGTGATGTGCAAAATATTTGTACAGAGAACGTGGACAAAACCTGTTTATATAAGGTTAGCACGTCCATTAAGAAGCATCTGCGCGAATCATGGCTATCTTGTGTGTCACATGTTCGTACCTGACCTTGCGGCTAATATTTGCTGACAGTCTGTTATTACAGGGTACCAACGAAATAAAGTGCTTTCGTTTGTGTATTAATTTATATCATAACGCTAAGATTATGGCGTCAGAATAAATACTATGTGTTACATATTTATGGTTTATTTAACGACGCTGCCGGTAACTCAGACTAATTGCTACGCTCCTAATGAACTGGAAAGGATGTTAAAGGAAACTGTCGTGATGTTTGAGATACTAATCACATATTTTTCTGGAGGAACTGAGATAAACTAAGAAAAATTCCGTCAAGATATACCGTCACCAGCCAAGATTTCAACCGGGCACTTCTCGAATGGAAGTGCAAATTAATACTGCTACAGTAACCTACCAGGTCTGGAAGTTGTGACCCTGTTTATGCACTTTTAAGCCCGAAGTTCTTTTAAAAAATGTACAAAAATTCAGTTCCTACTTCGCAGAAAACACACGTCTCTATAACAACGCCCAACCGGTTAATGCTATTTAGGGAAATAAGTAAAAAAAAAAAGTAAAGCTATCCCTGAAACAGGCCGCGAAAGCCCATAGGGTTGCCAGACTTTGAGGGTCCCACATTATCTAGACAATCGGCTCAAAGATGGCGGTAAGGTTGTCAGCCTTACGCGCCGGCCGCACTCTACTCCCCAGGAAAATTATTTAATTAATTCCTAATCGCTGTTTACTGTGAGAACCATATGGAACACATAAATACACCGTGTGAGCAGAATGCAATTTTTTAGTATCTTGAAGTCCGTACCTCACAGGGAACACCCTCCGTCTCCATAGCAACGCCTAACCGGTTAATGCTGTTTAGGGAAATAATCGCTGTTTACTGTGAGAACCATACGGAACACACAGATACACTGTGTGGGCAGAATGCAGAGTTTTAGTATCTTGAAGTCCGTACCTCACAGGGAACAAACTTCGTCTACATAACAACGCCCAACCGGTCAATGCTGTTTAGGGAAATAATCGCTGTTTGTTGTGAGAATCATACGGAACATATACTCACGCGTCAGTAACAAGACAAGGGGTTTGGACTGATTATTGAATTTATTGACTGCTTTCTACGCGTAGCTACAAACAGTTACAACATTTTCTCTAATCTACACACAGTAAGAATAACGAAAGTACATTCTAAGTTTCCCCTGTCTGCTATATCTTCACAAGCTGTTGCTTGGTAGCGGCTTATAACAATTAAGATCCCTTTGCTTCCGCTATCAGCGACTCATGGCTAACCAACGAGTTCTGGCTGCCAACTCAGATAGGAGTTGATATAAAGTAGTTAAACAATTGACTGTTGTCGCTGTAACATTTTAGCTACCATTCAATTCAAAAGACTACATTAAGAGATCCAGAAATAAGAATTCGATTTTCAGCGTAAGAACTTCTGAGATGTGATGCCGTGTAGTCTAATAGAGGTTTCCTGACGATTCGGAAGAATGTACTATTTCCATCTTCAGGGTTGAATAGTAAACCGCGCAAACAAACAACCAAGTAGCCTCGACAACTTTAAATGTTTTATGCCCCGGTTGCTTTATCCTCAAAGAACTTTCTAGTAACCGTCCGTCTTAACCCCGGAAATAGAGCCCATTGCCCCCGCAGCGAATTGTCAGGAGCCGGCAGCTAGTGCCTGAGTTTCCCAGTGGCGGTATACATTGGCCGTGAGACTTGAGTGACGCCCCATATAAGGACTCCAACCGCCAAGCCTGAAAACGAATATAGAAATGCCAGGCAACGGTGAAGGCCAAGTCTCTAGGTGCAATAGTGCCGACAAGAATGCGCGGGACGAAACGGAAGAAGTGATGGGTGAAGTATTACAGTCCAACCGCGATTTAATGGCCTCTGGCCCAGCCTGCGCCTGATGTAGCAGGAAGAATGTAGCGATGCTGTCCAAACTTCATTCCAGTTCAAAATATCGAAAGCCGCAAATACAGCAAGAAACACCGTGACAATGGAACATACAAGTAGTAACGCGTTTAACCAACATACTACTGTCGGACAATGCTGTTTCGAGACTGCGAGAGCTTACGGCTGACACGAGGGAATATTAAATCGCTACCGGACTTCACTGGTAATTTCCTGATAGGAAAATAACGTTGTACTTATTTTTAATTTTGAAGTTCTTACAGCGGTAATTGAAGTGTACCATTTCCCGTGATGCAATGCCCTATAGTCAGATATGTACGGCGTCACATCCCAGACGGCGGCACTTCGACTGGCAAGCTAACTGCACTGTCTCATCTCCTTGGAATGGATCCAGGTATGTAAATCTATCATCTTCCATGACTCCACCGCGTGCATAACATTACAGTGACCCCAACTAACATGAAGGTCGCCAAGTCCTTTTAAATACTAACGTCATATGTCGATCCACTGTACGAATCAGGGCACGTCATATCTTTCTTAGCCAACTTTACGAAATGAAGGTCCTGTAAATTCGTTTTAATTTTGCACTAACTTATAAATACCTGCAGTACATTGAAAACAACATCTAGAACTTTCTATTGATGACGTAACGGTATACGTCACTATCTAATGATGACGCAACCTCGTTCCTGTAGCAGACGGTATATAGGAAGGAATGAACCAAAGCTAATACAGACAAATGCAAATATAAAATGCCACAAAACCAGTTATCGTAATTTACATAGGTGTCCATTTCTTTCTCCTGTAAGCAAGTTTTTTATCCAGGTAAGTAAGATAGGGTCAATTAACCTTAACAGGAAACGACATTTAAATTTAAGGTCTAAGTCGCTTTTATGTGAAGGCCCTCTATATAAGATGAGCCAAGAGAAGATGCACGCAGTTTCTGAAAGAGGAGATTCAAGCAAACAAGAATTCTATCATGGTGACGATGCGTGAAAACCACTGCATTCTTCTGTGTCTTTTTGTGATAATTTATTGGTGGCCTCAGGGAGGACATTGCAAAGTATATGAGAGGTGTGAACTGGCAAGGGAACTGAAGGAAGCACACGGCATCCCAGAGGACCAAATAGCAACGTGGGTGTGCATTGCCAAGCACGAATCTCAATTCAATACTTCAGCTGTAGGGCACTTGAATGCGGATGGAAGTGGGGATCACGGACTGTTCCAGATTAGTGATCTTTACTGGTGTTCTCCTCCAGGAAAAGGGTGGGTTTGTGGTGTCTCCTGTGCTGAACTGGAGGATGATGACATCAAGGATGACGTAGTGTGTGCTAAAAGGATCTATCGGCAACATCAAAGGATTTCAGGTAATGGATTCACCGCCTGGGCAGTTTACGCGATGTACTGTGCAAGCAAGGAGGCTGCAGACAAGTTTGTGGACGGTTGTTACAGTGAAGGGATCAAAACAAAAGCTCTGGAAGAGGCGGTAGTGAGGAAAGAAGTGGTCAAAACATCAAAGAAATACCAAACAAAGAATATTTGGAATTCCGGAATATAGATTCTACCGTAACCGCAATATGAGAGAACATTAACCCGGAAATTAATATATTTTGGGATGTGGTGCTCTTTAGCCCAATGGAAGTTCACTCGGCTTCTCCACCTCCTTTCAGACTTACAAAATATGGGCCAATTTCAGGGCCCACGTTCCTTAATCCATGCTTCCATGAGTTTTCTGCATGTCCGGTGTTTAGTTTTATACGCGGTGCACGCGCACCATTCCTGCTACCTCATGTTATCCTTAGCTTCTGAAGAAAGAGGCAGTATTTTCCTCTGAAATGCCTTAGGTGAAATTCTGCCGGACTATACGGCGTTACATCGCAGAATATAGTATTCTTCATAGTCATCCCAGTGAGACTTCTGCGGTACGACATCTCCCAAAAGTTACGTTAACTACTTTACCGGCTGTGGCACGTAACTGAAAAAAAGTGTAAACAGTTTAGTTATTTGATAACAGATGTCGCTAGTATATACTAACGTGTTGTGGTTATCTTAAGTTTGAATAATTTTATGCTGAATTTTAGCACAAATTTATGAATATAAATAAATATATTTGGACGAGGATCAAAACACTTGTTGAAGTAGTGTTATTAGGGTTTTCTAAATTGGGGTCTCATCACGTGTTAATTAATCTGTAATTTCTCTGTAATTTACTTCATAAAATTAATAGTTTTGAAGTGACAATAGGTTGTGACAGAACAGACTACATCTAATCTCAGCCTATTCACATTTCTTAAAATGTTTTGCGTTTTATAAGATATTAACACAATAAATACTTTCATAATTTCGAAGTCTCAATGAAAGAGGTCACCAGGAAGACCAAGGCGTAAATGGGAGAACACACAAGATAAAATACTTCATTTCCGAATTCCATGTAACATATCTATTGTTACAATGCCTATTTAAACAACAGAAATTAATTTTCTATTAAGAAAATTTTTTCTGCTGTTGATTAGTATTGCCAAATTAGATTTTATCTTAAAGAAACGCAGTTAAGAATACATGAGGTAGACTAATGCAAATCATTCAACCTGAGAATGTGTGAACTTCACATGTGAGTGGTCTTACAGTCTTTGTCTCATGTAACCGTCTTTATATTATTTGATTTGGGGGAAGATCAATAATTCATCTTTTTTGATCATTATGACAAATTTAATAAAAATGACGCAATTAAAATAAAAAGTTCCATTTGGAAATGAATGAGGGAATGTAAGATCTGGAAAAATGAAGAAATGCTCTAAGGTAAAGACATTAAAAAAAATCATTTATATCGTTCTACAACAAAGGTAAAACAATTTATTTGCAAGTGAAACAAAACGCATCTAAAACATTAACAATGTAAACAGTAAAACTATTTATCAAAGCCTTTGAACAATTGCTTCTATACTAGCATAAGTACCCGTAAGAAATCCAATTATGCCAATGCAGATGATGAAACTATCCTTCCACAGCAGCCATTTGAGATGACCCAAACCACATTCCCAATGTATTGCAAGGTCCATTATGGCAGGAAAGAAAAGCGCCAGGGCAGTGCTACTAACAGCGCCCACCAGAGAGATAAACAAACTGAGGTGTGGAATTGCTTCTGCTAGAATAACTGTAAACACAGATATTAACAAGTTGAGGTCTGGAATTCATTCTG